CTTTTTTGCTGGCAGAGCCGCTCCCGCTCTTAAGCTGCAAAAAAGCCCCCCATGCCCCATTTAATCGCGCCTCTCGGGGGGCACGGGGCCACAAGCCTCCGTTCCTTTCCTTCTAAATAATGAATAACTTCTCCCTGTGGCACCCCGAGGCAAGTTTTTAGGGCGGTCCAGGCGTTTCGCCTGAGACTTCCTCACCACTTATGACCCTGAATCATACACATTGGCAACAGTGTCACAGATGGAGGGCGGGTGGTTTTCAAAATGTGGCTCTCGCTTTAGTGCCGCGCAATTTTTGTAAATATTGCGAAGGCTTCACGGATTGAGGGCGGGTCGTTGTCAAAATGTGGCTCTCATTTTAGCGCCGCGCACACTCGTTGCAAACAGTTGCAAGAGCTTCGCGGGTTGAGGGCGGTTCCTTTTCGAAATGTGGCTCTCGCCTTTAGCGCCGCGCACATTTGCTTTAAATACTTGCAAGAGTTTCACGGGTTGAGGGCGGCTCCTTTGCAAAATGTGGCTCTCGCCTTAGCGCCGCGCACATTCGCTTTCAACATTTGCAAGAGTTTTAAGGATCCCCATGAGCGTCGTACCACAAATTGCGTTCTGGAAGGATTCGCTATTCTGAGGGTGCAACATTAACGATGATTCGCGGTGCTGAAGTCCCAGAAACTTTGTTCTGGCACGATTCAAGATCGTCAAGCCGCAACTGTCAGGTTTATCCGTGGCGTTGGAATCCCGAGAACGATGTTTTGGCAGCTTCAAGTGTTTCAAACGGTTGTCTTCCAACGAGGCAGGTTTTCTGTGGAAATGAACCGCTGTAAGTGCCTATGAAGAAAGAGCTTTGGGGGAGCGTTTGTTCCAACATCGTGAGTGATTCTTGGGTTTACACTGGTCCTCCTCCTCCTCCGCCCCATCCTCCTCCTCCTCCTCCTCCTCCTCAGCCATTGCCCGACTCGAGTCTTTCCAGGTGCCAGGAGATTTCTCGTGTCGCAGGGAGCGGCAAACTTGGCAGTGGCACTGCCGCCCCGAGCAACCTGATGCCCCCGAAGTCTGGCGATGTGGACCTGTGCAGCGTGCCGCACAGATGATTGTTGGGGAACGACGACAGTATGCTACTGGTGTAAGAAGCCTCGGCAGGAGTCCAAGAGCGACGGGCAGGGCGACAGACCGAAGGACACGCACCAGGACGCCGATGGCGACGCCTCGAATGAGACCATGTCAGGGTTTGCGAAGAAGCTGAAGATCTACCGGGCCCGCCTCAAAGATCTGGAACAGCACGCGCAGGAACCTGGCATGGGGTTCGCATGGGAGGCCACGACGAAGCTGCATGAACAGATCGTTGGGCGGCTGGCACATGAGGAAGCAATACTACCAGCATGCGACGCGGACGTGGCAGTGCGCCGCCGTCTCCGTGGAGCAGAGAAAGCGCAGACAAAGGCAGACGCCCAAGTGGCGAAGCTCAAGCGGCAGCTTGAGGACATCCAGACTCAGCTGCACGCTGCACAGAACAAGGCCGAGCAGGCAGGGAAGAAGGTCGAGTCCCTCCGCGGCGAGGAGAAGTCGCTGGCCAGGCCCCCCATGTCCAAGGGCTGGGACTCGGTCTGCGTGCACCTGGAGCTCGCCAAGACGGCCCTGGGGTCGGGCGGCGAGGAGCAGGATGCGGAGGTCACCAACCAGGTGGAAGCGGCCCTCGCGCTCGTGGCAAAGAAAAAGGCAAACGCCGCAGAGAAGACGGCGATGGCGATGGACGAAGACGGGGCAAGCCTCAGCGGCGACTGCTCACGTTACAAGAGGCGCGCCTGTGCAGGCCCCGAGGAGCAGGGCGAGGACGCCCTCCAGCTCCAGGCCAAGGCAAGCTCCAGGAGATCGAGACAGCCCTCAGGCAGGCCGGTGCCAAGGATGAGGAAGACCAGAAGCACGGGCCAATGTTGCATACTAGTCTTGCTGACATGGCTGATGGGTTCCAGTCCGCGAAGCGGAAGTCGAGCCTGTCGCGATCCTAGCGACATAGCCGAGCAGTGTGCAAGTACCAGGTCCGACAAACAGGTGTTCGTCACGTGCAATGCGAACACCCCCAACAAGTTCGAGAAGGTGCTGCGCCAGCTGCGCTACCAGGTCGAGGCGCCAGTCGTCTTCGATAAGGGGCAACCGCTGGCGCCCAAGCAAGTGAAGTTGCTGTCGACCAGGCTCATCTATGGCTGGAAGGCAGTAGTGGTGCCCAGCGCACCGACCAAGGAAGGCGCGCCACAGGCCCTCCAGCTCACACAGAAGGTGCCCTTGGCATTGGTTGTGCCAACAGGGTGCCCCACCCCTCCAGAGCAGAGGCCGCGCCCTCTCAGTCGGGAGTACATCGATCACGAAGCTCTGAGCGCGTTCTGGCACGATCGCATGTACGCTTTCGAGATGCACTGGAATATACATCAATGCTTCGACGGCGATGGACTGCCAGCCCACAGCGGGCACGGCGTCAAGGCTGTCTACAAGATGCGAGAGCTTGCGCCCCCAGCGGTCAGGGACAAGAGAGCCCCGACGGCGCGAGCTATGATAAAGAGAGCGGCGCCGCATGGGTGCTACGCCGAGGGCAACTTCTGGGAGCGAGGGATCGTGGCAGGATCCGTGTTCAGCCCGCTGTGCTTGTCCCTCGGTCTCATCGGCACCATCGGCGACCTCTGCGTCGCGAACCCGAGGGCAGACATGTGCCCATACTTCGACGACCTCGAGGCGTCGACCCGAGGTGACGCGGCCGCCGTGGAGGCGCCCCACATGAAGCTGACCGACGAGATCGTCCTCGCATTCGAGCAGGTGCTCAAGTGGCAGCTATCGAGAGGCAGGGACGGCATGACCGTTGTCGCGGTCTCGCATGGCAGAGTCGAGTGGCAGCTGGGCAGCCACGGCAAGCAGATGGGCATTCTGGTGGTGCGTGAAGCCGTGCATTTGGGCGTGACCCAGCCAGCTGAGCGGCGACGTCGTGTCGGAGCCCAGTCCAAGAGGATCATGGATGCCAAGGCCAGTAGCTGGAACACCCAGTGGGTCAAGGCCGCAGGAGGCGCAGCGGAGAAGGTGGTCAAGCTCGGGAGCACGCCGTCGGAGTTCTACGGCACACGCGGGCAGGGCGACATAGACGCGCTGATCGCCACGTGCAGACAGACGGTGGCGGCGGCCGCCTCTGTCTGCTACAAGGGAAGGTCGGCCGCGCCGCTGCTGCCGGCGGAGGACGCGGACCCTACCGTGAGCGCCAGCGCGGGGCCCATCGTGGAGTGGGCCAGGGCGGGGCAGGATGCGACGGACATGGACACGCGCGTCCTCTTGGTGACGAGCTGGCGCTCGTGGGTCATGCGACTCCACGGGCATCCGAGACCGTGGGGCCTAGTGAGAGGGCCTGCAGGCGTGTTCATGATAACTGTAATTCGCCTTGTTTGCAGCACCCTGAGTCCAGCTACAGTCACATGCGGGACCGAGGTGCACGTTTTGGCACTGGTTGAGATGAATGCTGCAGGTACTGACTTGCGTCATGTGATGCGCGGGCGTATAGGTGGCAGGCACGCGCAGCAGAAAAGGAG